AGGATACGAATAGGATCTCTCATGAACTTTGAGGTCACCTCCAGCACCTCCTGAGGCATGGTGGCAGACAAAAGAATCACCTGGAAACGGTAAAAACGTGCACACGTTACAGCTTACAAAATGAGTCAACACTAACCACAACCTGAAGATGCCTATAACATGAAAAGGTAAATTTACAGTCACCGTGATCATCTTATTGCAGTAGATTTGACCAAGACAGACATAATTTACTGCTATGCCAGCTTTCATCTCTCTTGAAATTAAAATACACAGCAATTAAAAATGTATTTAGGATATAAAATGTCAGCTGCTTAATAGTCATGAAGAGGGACCCATGAGCCCAATCATAGTGGAGAGCAGTTACATTACTCTACCAAAGTTCATGATTCCCATCACAGTACAGAAAGCTGGTAGGTCAGGGACTTTGGTGTGGGTACCAAGACAATCAAACCAAAAAGGATTAGCTCACCTGAGTATCTGTGGCCAACTTCTGAAAGATCTCATAGATTTGGTCCTTGAAACCACGGCTTAACATTTCATCTGCCTCATCCAGTGCAAACATCTTTATATATTTGGGAGCTGAAAAAAAAGAAAAAAAAAAAAAGAAAAGTTGTCATTTCAAGCCATTGCCATGCAGAATATTAAACCTTTAAGTAACAACTCAATTAATAGAACAGGTAGAGAAAATGGTAGTACAAGTCTCAATTAAGACAAGTGATTGTCACCTGCACTTACAAAGATATCTGCGGTTGAGCATGTCAAACACACGGCCAGGGGTTCCAACCACTATGTGGGGCACATCAGCCTGAAGCTTCTGAACGTCATTACGGACATTGGTGCCACCAATGCAGGCATGGCAGGTTGCCCCCATGTAGTCTCCAAGAGCCAGCACCACCTTCTGAATCTGAGGAAGACAAAGACATTTTAGCAATAACTAAAATAGATCAACTCCATTTAACTGGATCTGAAAAACCACCTGTGCTCATGAGTCACTGCAAAATGACTAGTCAATCATCTTATCATCAGAGATTTATGGCAAGTATTTGTGCCCATACCATGAAACAGTCTTTTCTCACTGTGTTGAGCTGACTGGGATGAATATGGCATTCAATTGTTCTGCCCCTAACAGATATAGGACTTTGTGTCACTAACAGACACAGCCTTGCCCATTTAATAGGGGACATGCTTATAAAACTGAAGTGTTTGCCACACTTTGTATTTTGTGTCTCCAAAACCTCCAACAAAAAGGCAGAATCAGTACAAAGTGCTACAACAAACCTGAATGAGTAATGGTTCTCACCTGTTGGGCAAGCTCTCTGGTAGGAGCCAGCACCATAGCTTGTGTAGCCTTCAGGTCCACATCAATCTGCTGCATGATGGAGATAGCAAAGGTGGCGGTCTTTCCTGTGCCAGACTGAGCCTGTGCAATGACATCATAACCTACATGCACACAAAAGGCAGAAAATTAACAAATGCCCAATCAATCACATGGAGTTTTACTCTGGCTGTTACAATTTACAGTACCAAGGCAGCTTATGCCCATACCATGAAACAGTCTATGCCTCACTGTACTGAGTTGACTGGGATGAATATGGGCTTTATTTAATTTGCCCTTACCAGATATAGGTCAGAATGTCACTGACAGACACTGCCCTGCCCAATTAATAAGGGTGTGAATAAACTGATCTTATGATTCCATTAATTAAGTGACTAAAACACAGATAGACTATTCAAGAAATTAAGTTTTACATACCCTTGATGCAAGGGAGAATTGCCCTCTGCTGAATGGCAGAAGGTTTCTCAAAACCATAAGCATAGATTCCTCTAAGAAGAGCTTCTCGCAGGTTCATATCATCAAAACTATCAACAATCTCCTTCCAGTTGCTCTGTAAAAAAAAAAAAGAGAAAAAGATTTAGAAAAACACACACACACACACACATATATATATATATACATAAAGAGTGAGAGAGAGAACTGTCATTCCTATGTAATTAATTCCTAACATTAAGAGGGATCAACGCTACACAAGCTTTGACAAGTATCTGTGCCCATACCATGAAACAGTCTTTTTCTCACTGTATTGAGCTGACTGGGATGAATATGGCCTTCATTTGCTCTGCCCCTAACAGATATAGGACTTTGTGTCACTGACAGACACAGCCTTGCCCATTTAATAGGGGACATGCTTATAAAACTAAAGTGTTTAGCACACCTTCTTGGAAAGGTTTCTTAAAGTTTGTTACTTTCCTCTATGGAAAAGCACCAACCTGTACAGTGCTACAACAAACCTGAATCAGTAATGGTTCTCACCTGTTAACAAAACAATTAAAGGTGGTTTAAAAAAAAAAAACCACCAATGCTTATACTGTATGTGAAATGGCTCTTATGAGACACCAACCTCAATGACTCCATCTGGCTCCATCCCCTCAGGGCCATTATCTCTGGGTCTGAAACAAGACTTTGTAATTAGTATAGCTTTTATGTAAAACTCATTTCACATTCGCAATTGTGAACTCAAATAAAATAAAATGCCTCAAGAGCACATTTTCACAATACCTTTAACTAAACAGTAGATTGAGTGGATTCTAACCAATATTTGCTACACCCAGTCCCTTGTAGTGCAGGGGAATTGCCTACACGCACACATCCCATACATGTACATCTATTGTTAAATGTCTAAAAGACCTACTTTAAAAGAGAAGTTTCACGCAAAAACGAAAACTTACTTAAACACGTGACTTTGCTCTATGGAACACAAAAGTAGAATGACAGCCTCAGTCACCGTTCACTTTCATTAGATCATTTTCCATAAAATGAAAGTGAACAGTGACCGATCATTCGGTCTAACGTTTTCTTTTGGGTCCACAGGGAAAACGTCACACCGGTTTGGATGACGATTTTGATTGTAATCATCTGCAATATCGATAAAACAGCGTTAGTTTTAATTTAAACACAGACATCGTAACCTCGTCGTAAAATGCCTGAAGTGGCAGCCATTTTCGCTGAGCGCCATTATCAACGTGGCTCCACTAATTCACAATGACGCGTCGGTAACAATAATCGATCACTAAAATGTAGGATTTTATAAAAAGCGATATAAAATTAGCATGTGCGTCACCACAGTATTATACCAATACATAACGAAATTTATTTTTAGACAGTATACTAGTAAACTTTTCAACGACATTGCTTCCCCTTTTCTTAAATAAATTAATAAAATAAATTTGTCTATCAAATTATATAAGTTGTAATTATAAAAAAGGCCTATCGGAGGATAGGCCTTGGGCCTACACTGCCAGACCACTCCATTGTCTCGCCCAGGAAAGGCCATGTGCCCTACATATTTTCTCATTTTTAGGCCTACATCTGCAAACGAATCATACTTATTATTACATGGCACTAGATACGGAGTTCTCACGTAAAGTATATTACAATAAATCTTTAAAATGTAGGTAATCGGCTTAAAATGAGGAGAAGGGAGCGACCATGTGCCGCATGGACGCGCCGGTCACACGAGGAACTGAACGAGCGCGTGAGACACGTTGCGTCACAAGAACCGGCATTCTAACGGAACGTCGAATAGACGTTACAAAACCCATTTTAAAAGACTTTCCAACAAACATTACGGATATAACGTAAAAATAAAGTGACTGGTACTTACACTACCTGGTGAAAAAAACACTTTCCTAAAACATTTTAACGAGGCGGGAACCAGAAAGAACGAACGTACCAAACCGGCTGATAATGTTAGCTTTTGAATCGCTGATGAAAGACAAATATTCTGTATTTTCAAACAAATCATATGAAATCAACGACATTGGCTGAACATTTAAAGTAAACGGCAACCATTTACACAAACAGGGGAAAAAAAGAGTCTTCGAACACGTTATCTCACCTATCTTCATGTTCAGACGACATTATTACAAAGGACTGTGGACTGGCGGAAACGCGCAAATACTTAAACCGTGACGACAACCAAATCTCATTGATTGGACATCGTCCCGTTCAGTCAGATTATACACCCGCCCAGCGTGATTTCCCATTGGTTCAGAAACGATCGGTACCGCCCTATTATAAGCGCCTGTTTGAAGACGTCACGAAAAATCTAGAGGGAAGTTAAACCACAACTTTGCCTTTTCTCTAGGAAATTTGACGTTTGGTTTTCCAGAATATACTTTTTTAAAATGACCACCGTGACGACAACCAAATCTCATTGATTGGACATCGTCCCGTTCAGTCAGATTATACACCCGCCCAGCGTGATTTCCCATTGGTTCAGAAACGATCGGTACCGCCCTATTATAAGCGCCTGTTTGAAGACGTCACGAAAAATCCTAGCTGGAACTTAAACCACAACTTTGCCTTTTCTCTAGGAAATTTGACGTTTGGTTTTCCAGAATATACTTTTTTAAAATGACTTATGTTTTAATGAGTAAAATAACTAAATTAATAACAATTAATTTGCAAAGTGCAAACCATTTTTTCAGCCCTAAAATTTGAGGTTATTATACATATTTAAAAAAATGTGAAAGTGACTGAAGTAACAATATATGAGCTATGAGGACGTATTTGTTAATGGGATTTTAATAGACTGTAAAGGTACTTTCATTATGTTAATGTGTGTCTTACTAATTTATTTATTTTTTGCTTTCGAACTGTTGCTAACTGTACTTGAATTTAAAAAAGCAAATAAAAAAAACGTTGTTACTATGTCAAATACTAATTTGCTCACTTCCAGAAAATACAGTCAGAGGTAACTCTTCCCTTATTACCCAAGAGCTGTTTTCCTGTACATAAATGTTGCAAGTGAGTCATTTATGATTCACAGCTTGTGTTGCTAGTGGGTCATTTAATAGTCCATACAAATATGCTTTGAGGAAAAACCAGCTTACTGGTATCATTTCCAGTTTGAATAAGGGCGAACACAGCATAACCTGAGAACACCTCACTGACACGTTGATTCAGTAACACCACTTCATTATAAATCCCGGCCATTTCATAATATCATGTTATCATTAATTGCAACGTGACTCACAGAATAATAAGTGTTCCGATGAATACACAGATCATTATTTTCATAAGATGATTTATTAAAAACAAAACTGCAGACATGATTTGTCACTTGCTTTAAGAGCACAGATACCCTCATGCCAACATTTCGGATCAGCAACATCTTTATGCACAGAACAAAAGCAAAATCTGAAACGGAGTGTTCCTTTTAGGCAGTATGTCACAAGGGCAAGACAGGCTATCGACCGTAAATCACCTCAGATCTCTCAGGCAAGATGTTGGGCTCCAGTACGAAACCAAACAAAAAAGTTATACAAAATAAAAATAAAAGTGAGCGAGGATGAAATATCCTCAGTGTGAAGTCTCTCAGGCCATTTGGACAAATGTATATTTTTCTCCACTGGCTGTGCAGTCTTTAGACAAATATCACAGTGAGAGCTTGCAATAACACAGTTCTTTGTACATAAGTCTCCTCAGTTTGGGCATGTCCTGTTGACTGAAGCTGAAGGGTTGACCCAATGCGAGACACTTGCAATACTAAAGAAGAGGTGGAGAAAATAAAAGGTAAATCTTTTGTGTGTAATTGATGAAAAGACATCTCAAACAACATATGTTCTGACAAATGCTTTATGGTTTTTAATAGAGCTTAATGGATTTTACTTTGGATAAACTGCTATAAATGTACAGTACTGAGTCAGTTAATCTGATTCTTATCAACCACCCATAAAACTTCAGAATGAAGTTGGTGTATATATACCTGCAGGACAAATGCACCACAGTCACTGTCATTATTCTGTCTGCCAACATTCTGTAACATAAAAAAAGAGAGGCTCTAATAATTGTCAATCAAACAACTGAACAACATTAGACATTACAAAAAAAGTCAGGTAGCAATTTATGGTAACAGTCACTGCAGTGACTGGACTCACCATTTTAAAAAAACCTTTCCACCCTGTGCAAAAGTCTCTCTTCTCTTTTATCATGGCTTCTGCCTGAAGGTATTTAAAAATATGCTGTGGAGAGAAAAAATGTCACTTAGCTGAGATAAATTACAAACACAAAAACAAAGGTTAAGAATTTATTTTTTTTATCTAATGTTTTAGACATTACACACAACTTTAAAGAAATTTCATAACTTTTAAAGAAGTTTTTGACTGTGCATAAAACAATATTTTTTGTAGGGCTTTTACTTTGGGGCAGCGGCGATTAAGGGTTCGCTGAGAATCGAAGTACGTGATGAAGCGCTGTTTAATATCAACCGAGACCAGTGACCAGTGCACTTCTAAATGAATGGGAATCAACAACAGATCCTTCTGGAAGATGTCCACCTGAAACATGTTTGTACTTTTATTAATAAAAGCATAGTTCTGCTGATTTGCTTTAAGGATTATTACTAAAGAATGGACCCATATAAATTAATCATTAATTAGTACATGATTATGTTATGCACATACGAAGATCATAAACTTCTAAAGTGTGGGGTCAGTAAGATTTTTCTTTTTAAGAGATTACCGATAATGCAGCAAGGACGCATTAAATTTATCAAAAGTGACAGTAAAGACATTTATAATGCATTGCAAATAAATGCTGTTCTTATGAATTTTCTTACATTCTTTGTCCACCGTTTCACTCCATCATAACCTTTGGTCCTCAACTTGTCATAAAAGAAACTGTTAAAGAAGTGCACCTAAAATGAAGGAGATGCCATTAGATATAACAGAAAGCACTGAACACAACTGAATACAAATTAACTTTCCCCAACAATCAACAACAACTATAAAACTGACTTACCAACTCACAATAATTTGTGTCTAAAAATGTTCACTTTATTATATACATTGATTACTGAACAGTCCAGGATCCATTTGTATTTCACAACCTTTGTTATTAAGGTTGAACTAGGATCAGGTTAACTAATATGACAGAATAGGAGAATTACACAGGAGAAATGAGAAATAATTTTTACTTTTACTTTACTTTTAGTCATTTATCCAAAGCGACTTACAAATAAGAAAAAGTAATTAAAACTAAAAGCTAAAACTCTATAAATACTATATATATATACACACATTTAAGAAAATAAAAGAAATTAAATAAAAATAACAAATGCATACAACATTTCAAAACTAAACATTTAAATGAAAACAAAAAAGTAAAGCTAAAAACAATTCAAAATATTAAAAGAACAAAAGGTATGAGTATAATAATGATTCTAACATAACACTAAGCCAAACACCAAAAAACAACTACATATGTGTATGTACAGCCACACACATATACATATACATGTACATATATATAAATACATTCAATATATATATATATATTATTTCATTTCCATTTTGTATGTTGAAGTACTGAAATAACTCAAATGAAATAAAACTAAAACTTAATAAAAAAAACCTATATAGACATAATAAAAAAACTAATAAAATGACAACATGACTACAACTGTAACTAAAACTAAAATAGAAAACTAATACAAATCAAACTACATTAGTTTATCAGTAATCCTAAAAAAAATAACACTGAGCCAAACACACATGCTAAAATAACAACAACTTACTGATACATAGTAAGAAATGGTTATAAAAAAAACTGAAACAGAAGTGAAACAAGTAATAGGAAAGAGGAGAAATAAAAAGCGATACTTATCCTTTGCCGGTGTCCCTGCCCGGATATAACTAAATAACTAAAAATAACTAAAAAATAATCACCTTTTCAGGCACCGAATCCATCACAAGGTCTCCATACATGTTCATGACCTTAAGAAATCAGATGTGTGCATAAGAACAATGTGTGCATTAAGCTGGACAGATGAAAAATGAATGGAAAATAGTGCTGTGCATTTATAACTCAAAACTGACCTGGTCATTGAGCCAATTCTGTCCATAGAGGGTGCTGAGATCATCCATTGTGAGAACATGACGCTTGTAATTCACCCGAAACCCTTTCACCATGGCAGTCCCTGGTGATCTCTGGTAGGACTGAATTAAATGTTGCACCATGACTGTCCTGTGGGCACATGGTAAAGAAAAAAAAAAAACTTTAGTTCCTTCCAAAGATGCATATGGTACACAATAAATGCACAAAGACATAAACAACTGAAAGAAAGAGAGTGTATTTGAGGTTGTGCATGTGTGAGACCTGTGTGGCTGAGTGAAGTCCTCATTGAAGATGCCCTGCAATTCCTCAACAATATCATCTGAATGTACAGGAATCAGACTTCCATACTTTTGAAGGTACTTGTCAAGAAGACCTGAGAAATAAATAAATGCATGCATGAGGAACCACAGAGTTTTGAACATGTTTTCCATTTAAACACCAAATTAGGTGAGAAATTTCATTTGTCTACTTAAAAAGGCAGTCTGGATTATTCAGAAATAAAATAAAACTAAAAAAATTGCCTTAATGCCAGTTTTATGCCAATAGCTTGAGTATAACATCCACTTTAAACTGCAATCTTGGCCTAAAGTCCTATATTTTCCAAATATTAATCGCTGGACATACTTCCATATCATAACCAAAAGAGATAATAAGAGATTGGATGTATGTTTCTACAGCTTTTAGAGAACAACAGTTCTACCTTGGACATAAGACCTGTGCTCCTCTGTAAGGGTCATCGCCATCCTCTGAGTGGTGGGCTTCAGGGGCATAGAAAGATATTCCTGACCACCACTGACTGTTGAATTTGACTGAGAATCCCCATGATAACCACTGAAAACAGAGAAATTGTTTTCTGTGGAGAGAAAACAAACATATAATATATTGCAGTTCTGACTATAATTCTACTTACTCTTAATCAGTAGTTTTCAACAAGTGTGTGAGGGACCCCCTCCGAAAATAATTAATTTCTATTATGTTACATTATTGCCTTTTTATTTCTACTCACTATAGTACTGTACTGAATACTGATGCATTTAAAATATAATTTATATTATTTTAATCAATCAGTCATTCATTTATTTAAATCAAAGCATTCCCTTGCGGCCCCCATTCCCCAGATTGAAAACCTCTGCTCTAAATAACGAGAAAAGGAAAAGTCTCACCTGTTTCTCTTCCACTTGTCTCCAAACCTGTTTGTGATGAGCCCATGGTGTCACATCCCTGCTCATCCAGTCTCTTGCTGGCATAAAGGCTATACTGGCGCCACCTCCTTGCCCGTCGATACCCTAGGGTGCTGGCCCACTGGGCCCGCTGTCTCCACGCTTTCCAATTCTGCACAAGCCGGTTGCGTATCCTTGCACTAGACCGCAGTCCTCGCCATCGCTTCAGCTTTTGCTGTCTAAGTCCACGAAGCCGAATCCAGAACGGCTTCTCAGGAAAGTCTCTGGCTTGGAATTTGGCCTCCCCTTCATGCAAGGACACCTGCTGCCGATAATTATTAGCGAGCATGGCTTGCGGTTGTGATTCAAATGGCATTTGCCAGTCTTCCACTTCATCTTTCTCCTCCCATGGAACACATTCCTCATCTCGTTCTTCTTCTTCCATATCTTCTTCATCCTCATCAAAGCCAGCTTCTTCATCAACCTCTACCGGTTCAATGTACTCTCCAGTCCAGACTTGTTCCTTGTGACCTAGTTTGAGGTGAATGGGGCTGGTAGCATTAGGAGGGGAGTTTGGATCCATTAGAACACCTCCCATGCCCCCAACACTGCTGGCTTTCTGGCTCACAGTCAAGGAGAGTTCACCTTGCCAGCGGTTCTGGGCCAGGCTTCCACCGCTGTCTCTCATAGTCCACTGGCAACCTGCTATCTGCGCCAGCTCGCCGCCTGCAAGAGTGAGAATTAGGGTCATTTCAGTGCCTTGAATTTTGTTTAAGGTGCAGGCAGGTAATTTGCACAGTACAGATGTGTTACTTGTTACTTATAAGACCAGTAATCAGTCAGTTATATGGTGACTCGCAAAGTGAAGCAGATGTTAGCTACCATACATATCTACTTTTGACATTTTAAATACATACAATAGCATATTTTATATACAGTTCTCATTTACTCTAATTTAAACGCATCGAATACTGGAGCAGAACAATTTACACAGGAAGCAGGTATTAGCTTTATTAGACAGTATGCATTGTCAAAGTAATTAAATTGTCTGTGCTCGTTTAACCAAACACGATTCATGAAATTTGCAGATATATTCATGTTCAATATATTCAGATATATCCATGGGCAACTGTAAAATCAACGACTAAATGAACGGAGAACATGTCTCATGCAGCTTCATATCCACCAAGCCTTTCAAAAGCCATTTCATTTCTTGAAACAACTCGTGTTTAGTGCGTTTTGCAATGACGGTAGACGTTTAATTCACGGTTCCTTTGGTATTTTTCGCTTGTTGGCATGTGCAAATTTGCTAACTAGCTTTCGAGCTAACAGCTGCCTACAGTCTATTCAATTGTGCTCCCATATCACTCACCTTTTTCGCGCAGTTTTACACCAGTGTAAGATAATAGCACACACAGCAGCTTCGCCTTTATTTTCCACGAATTTGGGGCAGATAAACCAAATTGTGCATAATGAGGGTTTCCACCTCAATCAATGAATATAGTCGCGTTCTTTGCACGAAAGCGTAAACAGCAACGCCGCGCGAAACTAATGACATCATTGGCCTCTTCTTCTTCTTCTTCTTTTGTGTTTAATGGCGGTTGGCAAACCAGCTTAAGGTGCATTTCCGCCACCTACTGGGATGGAGTGTGAGGCCTCGATGAACGAATATATCATATACTACTAATAAAAAAAACTTAAAAAAAAAAAAAAAAAAAAAACTAAATTCTTCTAATCAAATCTGTATCTCTCAGATATTTTAGAAGAAAATCATAAACCCTTAGATGTTTCTGTGCATTCTGAAATATATTCATAACTGAAATGTCATTGATTTCCATATCTCTTAGTTTTTCAACAAGTTGCTTTCTTTGTCTATTATATGCCTCACAATGTAAAAGCACATGTTCAACTGTTTCTGTTATTCCACAGTAACTGCAGCTATCTGACTCACTTTTTCCTATTATATACAATGAATAATTAAGGTTAGAGTGTCCTATACGGATCCTGGTTATAACAGTATCTTCTCTTCTGTTTCCATATACCTTTCTTTCAATCCCCACTTTCTGCATCATTGGCCTCGTTGCAGATGCTGACTGTGATGTGTGTCTTCTTCTTCTTCTTTTGGAGTTTTATGGCGGTTGGCTAACATGTGATGTGTGTCGTTCGCGAACTGCTCCTTTAAGTGAACGATATGAGTCGGCTCCTGGTCGTTTTCTACGACGGCTCTCAGCGATTTTTTAAAACTTTGTTAATACAAGAGAAAATAATGGGATGTTTTTTGCCACGCGCACTGCTTGTACTGACTTATTTTGCTTTGATGTGCATGTGATGATTCTCGCTCGCGATTGGTCGCACGCACGCACATACACACCAACTGATTCAACGCATGCACAATGTGACAATGTTTCAGGGTTAATAGATACATAACGATACAACTGTGTTTGATGCTTCTGCTTTGCACACTGTAATTTAGTTTTATCTGTTATATGGCACACCATGTGTTACATTTTGAGAATGATTTGTTTATAATAGTTTGTGTTTTGGATAGTTCACTACCCTGAGAGCACATACCCTGATACATCACATCTATTTAATGTCTGCGTTTACATCTGCAATATGTCTCTAAGACGTTTGCTATCAGATGTCTTGAAGATGTTTATGTTTTAGAATGTATGTAAATCAGATGTTTTTACACAGCAGATGTTTCCCAGAACAAGAGCTCTTTAGCAGACATCTTAGAGAAATAGCCTACTTGTGCAATCTGGGTAATAGCGTTCTGTAGGCTAATAGTGTTTTATGTTTTTACATAAATTAGGTTTTTGGTTTTTATACCAAAATAATGTAAAATTATGGTATTTCGGAAAGGTCAGAAATATGACAAAATGATTTGAATTTGAATTGTGTAAATCTGAATTATATAGGCCTAGTGTAATTTAACAAAACGGCATATTATGTGGCGTTTTATATTTTTGAATTTTATTTTTTTAATGGTTTAGTTTAATTACTTAGAATAATTAAAATATATTTGTGCACACATAACAGACATAGGTCAAAACACTGACAAATTTGGCTGATTTAAAAAAGCCATTTGAGAGCCGAAACAGCCGGTTCTTTTTGTTGAGCTGAGCCAAATGATCCAGGTTCCCTAAAAAGAGCCAGAATTCCCATCACTAATACTGACAAAATAAAGCACTAAAAATAACACCCAAACGAAGATACTTGCAACATATTAATATACTAATACTGGGTCAAACCGTGTGATGAAGAATGAGCTTTAAATGTAAAAAGGGGGTTTAAGCAAATGAACTGTTAGAATAAAAATGAGAAATATTAAGGAACTTATAGAAATTATTACTAATTTAGTTTTTTCTAAATCAAGTATCTAGTATTTACTTAAATATTTAGTAGATTAAAAATGTGATGTTCAGTAGTTGAATTTAGTTTCTCATTTCAAATATGGTAGCCTATATAGCCTCCTCTTGTCTCCACTTAACCATTTTGTTTGTGGTCTTTTCCTATGCTGTCAGTATCTGTTTCAATTCTGACATATGGTTAAGTACAGGCTGCATATTTCTAGGTCTGAGTCACAATGTGATGGGAAGGAAGAGCTTATTTAAAAAATGGCACTAGTTTGGACTAAATGATGCGGCCTTCAATTGCAGCACACAGTTGACTCAACCTATTCACAGTTAATGGGATTTCTCAGAACTCAGCTGTTAATATCCGTTATATTATACTAATGGTTCACTACTGTATACAAAGATTTTATTTGTGTATTTGGTTTATTTTCAAATAAAATTACTGTTCACTGACAAAAACACTGGCATAAATATATAGTGCTTAATAAGCATGTTCCCATGCAATGCAGCTAGTTTCATTTCCATGGTTAAAATCACCTACACTTTTTTTATTTTATTTTATTTTATTATTATTATTATTTTTTTAAGTTAACAGTCAATAGTTATTTATGATATGTACAGTATCGTAAATAGATAACCAGGAAGTGAGTTGTTAATAAAAGTTATTTTTCCCCCAAAGGGTAATTTTTATAGGTTGACTAAGGGTAATCTAATACATGATTTCACGTGATCATTTGCATATGTGTGTGTGTGTGTGTGTCTTTGTGAGAAGAAGAAATATCCAGTCAAACTGGAAAGACAGGATCAGAAAGGCATGACTGAAAGGGGCACTGGGGAAAATAGTCTCTGTTTTCAAGTGCTTCTAATGCAGCAGGGCTTTATGTAATTTGTGAGAGTTCCTTCATACTGAGTGTACTAATAGCCTACAATATTTACAATTTTCTTTTCACGCCCATTTATTGTCATTTGTCACAATTGTTGACGTCCTTTATTTCAACACTTCCGAATTTTCAAAACCAATAGCAAGAAAATAAGCCCATGTTTCCTGTAAAGCTAAACACATGGTTGCTGTGGAATATTACCTTTAACCTATATCCTATATTTAAAATGTAATCATTTATTTAGTAAAATGTATTTAAAAAAAAAAAGGAAATTGGAAAACCATGATATTGTCCACTTAGATAATAATTTAATTAAAATGCCAGTTGCAGATACAAATAGACAAGTGTTTTGGATTATTCATTATACAGAGTAGGAATTAATAAAATATTTTATGTTTATGATGGGGAATAGGCCTACAAACAACGATGTGGTTTTCAAGTAGGCTATAAGGATCTATAGCTTTTTGAGCCCAGCATGGTAAACAATAGGGGGAAAGAAAGAAGATAGCGTAAACATCAAAATCCACATGACTGTCAAATTTGGGGAGGAAAAACAACAGTATGATGTAATAAAGGGCATAAATCCAGCAGGTGGTGAAGGGGAAATGTTGGTGTTAAGGGTGGAGGACGTGAGGAGGCGGAGTGAGGAAGAACTTAGACGGATTGCTTTGGAATCGCAGAGAGACGTCAGATGCAGTCTATAAAACACCTGTCTTTAGGCTACTTTAAAAACTACTCATAACCCATAGATTAATGATAGACGGACTATTTAAACTAGCTTCTATATTCTAGCACGGCGGATTATAAAAACATACGTGAAACTCACTAAAAATGAACGATTCGTAATGGACAGTTTATACCTGGAGTGCAGTTGACTTACGAGCTGAAGAAAGTGATTCGACTGCGGGAAAAAAAAGTTTTGTAAGTATAAGCTTTTGTTTACTGCAATTAGCATCCTTATTCTGCAAAGAAAAGTTAATGATGTATGGAAAAAAAAGCAATATATTAATTAAAAGTGAATGAGAGTCTAAACAAAAGGGATGGTTGGTCAAAAGTAACGATTTACCATGGAATTGTTTTTAAGAGCGTCATTTCCGCTTTGGTGTTATTATGCTTTAAAAACACTCACCTGGGCCCAGGTACCTAAGTCGTTCTTATCTGCTTTCATGGTTGATTTATAGCACAAGGTGAAACCAACAGTATGTAAGTTTGCTTTCAAAAACTGCATTAAAGACTTCCCTTTGTGTCAGTGTATATAATAATTACTCAATATTCCAGTATATACAGACTACAATTTTACGCAGTTTTTTTCCTACTGTATCTGAGTATCTGTGGGTAGTTTCAGTTTCAGTGTAGGCCTTTTTCATATCTGTTGAAATTACTGTTTTTCATATGACGCTGAAATGAAGTTTTGTAAAACGTTTCCTCTCCTTATTGAAAAATGTATTATTAATGAGGGACCATAGGCCTACTTTTATTTGCTGCTAAGAAAAAAATGAATGACAAATAAAGTATTTAACATTTTTTGTCCTACACTCATTCTGAATATTAAGTGGGCAGGCAGCATTATATACCATACACTTAACAAATCTCTCAAATAACGTTGATATAATAATTAGTTCTGTGCCGTTAATTAGGAAATTAGTATGTAATAATGACCTGCATATTGTTTGTGACTAACTACCCGGTCATAGGTCAACTGCATATGTTTGACACATTTCTAAAGTTAATTATACATGAAGGATTAAAGTCATGCCTTTTGACAAAACATGACAAACAGAAGCTGTCATTTGGGTGTACACTCATTTATAACTCTTTGTAAAAAGCCACTGTTTTCTGCTTTTAAGACTTTCAAAAGGTTTGAAACATATTTGATTACAGTAATGCTGTAGAAACTGTTTGATACATCAGTTCACACCCAGTTTCAGAGGAGACTGTATCAAATGTTAACAGAAGCATGGCTTTATCAAACAAGCCAGCTTGAGGAAAACCAGCCTGAAAGTTGCAACCTGTTAGAGCTGAAAATGACCGGCTCTAAAATCTTTCACTCTCTTCTGGAGATATTTTTTGACTAAAATAAAACATTTGCTCATGCTCCGATTAACAACAATAATCCTGTAGTTATTACAAATGTAAGATCTGGTCTAGAATATACCTTGTCAACTAAACTTTAGAGCCTTGAGTTTCACACGGAGTCTACTTTTTGTCATTCAGGGTGTGGACTTTGGGTGTGTAGTCTTGGAGAATCTTACTTTGAAACTCTTAGGTTTCCTGCTCAGACAAGCCCCATAGTTTTAGAGCGGTCTGTTCTGAGGCATACTGGCTG